TCCAACTCAAAAAAAAAAATAATAATAATAATAATAATTTCACTGGGCTTGGTGGCTCAGCCTGTAATCCCAGCACTTTGGGGCGCTGAGGCGAGTGGATTGCCTGAGCCCACAGGTTCAAGACCAGCCCAGACAACTTGATGAGACCTCATCTCTACAATAAATTTTTTAAAAAATTAGCCAAGTGTGGTAGCGCGTGCCTGTAGTTCTGGCTACTTGGAAGGCTGAGGTGGAAGGATCGCAGGTTGTCACTGGAGTGGCTGTGAATGTGCCACTGCACTCCAGCCTGGGTGACAGAGTGAGACTTCAACACACACACACACACACACACACACACACACACACACACACACACACCTCTAGTAAAATTTTATTCAAATTGACTTTTGTTTAGATTTTACTTAAATTATATACATTGATTACTTGCTTAAATTGCTGAAAACGATTGAGGTATAAGTTTTCTTTAAAGATGATGCCATTGCCTCAATTCCCTGAAATAGATAGTAACTATAAAGCCATTGTTTCCTTGATTTGTGGTATATGATGGAAACACTTGCAGTACAAAAAGGTAATTAACCTTCACCTGTTTAATTGTTCCCTCTTTTAATGAAATGGAATGAAAATTTTTTTGTTCCTCCAGTGATAGATATTAAGTATATTAATTTTAAATGTTCCTCAAGCTTTCAAAATTATTTCCTAAATCACTGGATTGGAGCATAAGCAAGATAATATTAAACACCAAAAGCTACCTACTGTACAAGTGTTCTTTATTGCTTATTCTGTGGAAGTTGATATTTTTAAAACATAGGTAGCAGACATTCTACAAAATACTTGCCCAATATTCCTTGAAACTATCAAGGTCATGAAACACAAGGAAAAACTGATAGACCAGAAAAGACTAAGAACACCTCACTGGTGGAGAGGAGAAGGCACATTGCCTTGTTCCTGCTAGTCAAGGGATAAAGCATACATATTTCTCCCTATTCTCACTAAGCATGCCTTTTTCTTTTTCTTTTGTCTACATCTGTTAGCACTTCTAAGTTAAAAATATATTTGGTGCTCAGTCTGGGATTTATAAAATGCAAAAAGAAAACAAAACCAAGGAAACTGCCATATTCTTCAAGTACCAAGGTCCCTATCTAATCTGTTTTTCTCTCTGCTCTGAAGATCATCTTATGTTTGTTTTAAGTATTTCCTGAGCTTTTAGCTGTACTTAGTGGGAGGAACAGGGAAAAATGTGTATGCTCCATCTTGTCTAGAACCAGAAGTGTCTTCTAACAAATAAATTGCTTTATATATTTTAATGTTATGTTATTACATATAGCTGGGCTTAGAATTGATATATCTTCCTTGTCAATCAAATCTTTTATTATTAAATATGGTATCTCTTTGTAATCTAGTAATCACTTTTTGCCTTAAACATTTTATTATAATATAGATGCACTGCTTTGGGGGGGCTGGTATTTGCCTGTTATATCAAAATAACTGAGTCCTGCAGAGATGGGAGTCATAGGACGCCTCTGCTGACTTTGACTCAAGAACTGCTTATAGGTACTGCTTAAGGAGATAGGAAGGGATGGGGCATATAGGGAACATGACCACTCATTGGGTGCCATGTCCACTACTAGAAAGGAGAAGCCTCATGAGAAGCCCAAACCTCATCTTTACACAATATATTTATGTAGCAAATCCTCACATATACCCCACGATTCTAAAACTAAAAAAAAAAAAAAATGGCAGCTAGGATGCCTCCACTAATTTCTCCTTCACTCTTGTTTCCACTCAGGATCAAACTTGCATGACCATCTAGTGGCCCTCTCTAGAGGGCCTTACCCAGCTACTTCCATTTTCTCTCACAGGTGTTTCTCCTAATAAAATCCTTGACCATTTAATCATCTCTTGTCATTTGCTTTTCAGAGGATTTAGATTAATGCAAGTTAGTAGCTGACTCCTAAAGACAAAATGGTATTCTGCCTTCTGTGCCTTGCAAGAAGGACACAATCAACATTTTGTATTTGCCCCCAGATTAAGGCACTGGATTGCTTGCCATATAGATTAGCCACATAGCTTTCAGTTCTTTCTCTAAAATTTCTGAATCATTCAGGCCCATTCTACCAGTTTTTTCAATCCAGGGTCATAGTAGTCGGATCTGAGGTTATGTGTACAGGAGACAGAGGAAGGTCTTTGCCATGGAGGCTGACACAGGAGAAGGCTATGGTCAGAACACATGGAAAAGTGAGCAAAAAAAGCAGAAGAGCAGCTCCAAATGAAGTGTGGAAATGAGCAGTGCAGAGTCTAAAGGAGCAAGCTGCTTATGCCCTGGAATAGTTGGATTGGTTGGTTATATTCAAATTCATTTTTTATTTGTATAAATGTGTAATGTTTTGACACATATATATGTTGTGTAATAATCAGAACATTCAAAATCCTCTCTTCTAGCTGTATTGATATATCCATGGGAGCCAAAAAAATATATACACGTTTTAAGAGATGTTATCTGTGTATTGCTTTTTGAAGTTAAGTTATGATAGCAAGGTAGTATGATGTTCGTGCAAAAGATTGGCATTGATCAAATAAATGCTAGCATCACCATGCAATAGGCAGGACAGTCAAACAAAATAGTGGAAGGATGATTGTTGTTTGAGGGGCAAAAGATCATTTTGAAGTGGTACTTGAAATTTTTGAATGTTGTGGAAGTACAAGGACAATGGAGGCGTGAGTATGAAACGGAACCTCCAACATGCCTAGC